TACTGTAGGTGGCACAGCAAAGGTAACCTTTTCCCTGTTTTTCCATTGTTCTAAAATATGAATATAGGAATTATTCTTAATATCTTCCTGCATGTTTCTTGCAGAATGATTCATGCAATACAACCTTGTTTCATTCTAGTTCTAAAAATTTCAACAAATTTAGATCTGAAACTAAAGAAACATTAATCTAACAATGCAATCCAAAATATTTGACTTTGCAGTCTACATATTTTTGTCACACAGAATACAATGTAGTTATTTTTAGGAACGCCCCATATATATGCAATGATACTAAAAATGGCCAATTGAATCAAAAAGCATACCTTTAGTCTTGTTGAGGTCATGTCTTGAAACAAATATCAAAAAACAAAGTAAATATCCAGTATAAAAGATTGAGCTATAATATATTAAGTTTTCAACTTTCCAAAGGCAATACTACTAGGTGAAATATATATTTCTAATAAGATGGGTCTTCATACTTTATTGTACACATGCTGCTTTGGAAACTCTTGATTTTTAGAAGGATTTTTATTAGATAGACCTTCAAACAGAGAATATCCTTTTGTGAAACTAAACATTCTAAGACTGCATTTTTACAATGAATTAGATCGTAATATAACTTGATGGCTATTATAGAATAATACAGTAATCTACTGAGAATGTAGCCACTGCACTTTGTAAATTTTATTGAGGAAACCTGCCAATTGTATTTTATTCAATAAATTATATTGATACAGGAGTCAAGTGACATTAATTGCACTTCTACCACAGTTACTGCAGTCTAGAAATATCTTCCAACTACTCCATTTAATATTGGTAATGCAAATGCTGAAAATTAGAAACACATGAGAATTGCAACCATAGTGTTCTAATATTAATCATGACCTGTTCCCCCATGCTAAATCCTAATGGGGAAGTAAAAATGAAAAATCTCTTTTTATTCCTTTGTATGGCAAGATTCTGCATATTTTCAACACTTACTCCATCCACTGTCCTTGTAAAACCTCCTTGTTTCTGGTCATTGCAGAGCCATTCGTTAGTGTAAAATGCAAAATAGGCCAATGAGTGTCTGCAGAGTCTAGATCAATGGCTCCCAACCTTTTTATCACCAGGGACCGGTTTCATGGGAGACAATTTTTCCATGGAGGGTTGCTCCCTCGTTCACCTCCAGCTCTGCAGCCCAGTCCCTAACAAACCATAGACTAGTACTGATCCGGGGATTAGGGGCCTCTGGTTTAGATGACCCATCATCCACCACTATTATCCTACATTCTATGTAATTCACATAACCAAATACTTCTGAACCTAGTTTAGAATCTATAAGGAGTCAGATGCAGCAGACATATTGGAAGCATCAATCATAATGCAGTTGTTTGTGTGATAAAAGCATACCGAGTTTAATTTAAAAGGAGAACCACATCTACCAAATTCTCATTTCAACTCATCTAGCATGCTCTATAACCTCATGTCCAATACATCTTAACAACAGAATATTTTAAGTGAATGATATACATCCTCAATTAGCCTTCTTTTTCTTCAGGAAAACTCATTGCAAACTTAACAAAAGTTTAATGTAGTATAACTTCCAAAGTATAATAAAATCCCTCCAGATGTCACAAAAATCCATTCAGATTTTTGGTCTTCTTATAATAGATGGTCTTGTCTACCTAGATACAACCCCCCCTTTTTTCCCCTCTCCCATAGCATGAATATAGTCGTGGGGGCCCCTCGGGCCAACACATCGCAAACTGGTGTGATAGAAGCAGGTGCTGTGTATTTGTGCCCTTGGAAACCTACTGGCAGTAACTGCATCCCTATCGAGTTTGATACTAAAGGTGAGTGGCTTTCCACAATCTGGTCAGGAAATGGGAAGGTGGAGGAGGAAAACATTTGAAAGCTTTTTGGTAGCTAACTGTTATGAGGAATGAATTAGAGGTGGGTTCCTACCAGTTCTGCCCGGTTTGGCCGAACTGAGAGTGGTTTGGCGGCCTGGGTCGCTGGAACTGGCAGCGACCCAGGCCTGCCATGCCCCCGAACCAGTTCTCCTATGGGGCCGCCATCTTGATTTTTGGTTCTGTGCATGCGCAGAACAATTGTAATTGCACAAATTTAATTTTTTATGTTTTGCACATGCACAGACCTATTTTTGTGCAAATACAGCACTGAACCAGCAGTAATGCCAGAAGCAACCCACCCCTGGAACGAATGGATACCATTCTGTGGCCTGAGATCAGTGGTAGGATTCAGCACCACTTTGGGGGAACCAGTTGTCAACTATCTAAGCCGTTTGGTGAACTGGTTGTTGGAAGAAATCATTAGTTGTTGAATTATTTGAATCCCACCACTTCTGAGATCCTATATGGCCTTGCTTTGATTTTAAAAACCATGTCCAAATGTTCAGTTCACCTGTACCTTCACTATCTTGATGTCCAAATGGGAGCAAGAAGAAGTGTAAGAAAGTATGTTGGAGAACGAGAAGAGAGGAAGAGACAAGGATAGGGAGGTTGCAGAAGAGATGAGAGAAAAGAGAGAGTCCTAATCATTTTCACTAGTATTTATTATGCTCAGTGCCAGCATACTGATTTGCAAAATATTAGGAAACCTAATTTTAGCTACAGTAGTACAAGACCATGGATCCATAGCTCAGGAATTATTTGGGGGCAGGCTAATGTTTACTGCATTTATCTTCTTTAATTGTTTACATGTTGTCCATGCCACTATTGCTATGCAGGTAATCAAGTGGAAAAACTTAATCACCTTACTATTAAGACCTTCAAGTCTAAACAGTGGTTTGGAGCATCTGTGAACACCTGGAAACAAAGTATCATGGTGGGTAGTGGTTTCTGATTCTATCCAAGAAACTCCAAAATTGATGAAATACTACTTAGCAAAATCTGAACATGTATCCAAATCATTTCAGATTTATTTTTCACAGGCCACTTTGAAAATATTGCCCATCAGTTATTATAGTTCAATTTAAAGAAATAAAGCCAGTTTTTAAAATATGAAGTGCCTTATAAGGGCCAAAATAAATAAAAAATTAAAAATAAACTGCTAACTACAAATTATAATAAGATTCCCACAAAGACATTCAGGAGTTTGATAAAGAACCACATTCATTGGAATAGATTTGCTTCTGTAGTGATTACTTTGAAACATAAAATTAAGGCGGTATAATTTTCTGCATCTCTAGTTCATTTTCAAGAGGCATACTGAAATAAATTCTCTAGTTAAGTTTTTGTACATGTGCTGTTGACTCCTCATTCTACCTGTGACCCACATTCATTTGTACATTTCTATTTTACTAACCGGAAATGAGAAATCGTTTGTCTTTGATCTACAGAAATACAGGAAAGATGTGGTCCTCTGGATGTTTTTGAATTCCAAACACAGTTTCCCTAAAAAATAAGACCTATCCTGAAAATAAGCACTAGCATTTTTTAAACATGTGTGCCTAATATAAGCCCTACCCCCAAAATAAGCCTCACTTAAGAGCCTGTGCAGCCACCTGCCCACCCATTCCATCTGGTTGCTTATGGTCCCATGGCCACAAAGCAAGATTGGATGATGGTAGATCTGCCCCATGTGCCTAACACTGGCTTAACCCAGGGCCCATGCAGCCAGACCATCCATGTTGTGACACCCACTTCATGGTGACAACATCAACAGCCATGTGCAGCAGGAACACATGTGGTCACCGGCCCATTTCTTCTGCTTGCTCACAACTGCAATTAAGCAGGAGGCTGAGCAGTATGTTGGTGCCGTAGCCACAAGGTGAGGCAGGTGTTGGTGCATGTTCCATTGCAGCCCTGAGCAAGCAGGAGATATGGGCTGGCAGCTATGCAGGGTTCTGCTGGACGGGGCTGCTGCTGCTGCAAAATGAGGCAGGTGTTGAGATATGGGTGGACCGGCTGCAGAGGTAAGCTAATATGGGGTACATGGGACAGCTCCACCTGCCTCATCTCATGGCTGCAGCACCAGTACTGGTGCATTGCTCAGTCTCTTAAAAAGTGGGCTGGCAGCCATGCAGGGTCCTTCTGGACAGGGTTGCTAGTGCGGTGGCCATGAGGCAAGACAGGTATTAGGGAGTGGGTGGATTGGCTGCAGGAGTCCTGAGGTAAGCCAGTGAGGGGCACATGGAGCAGCTCTGCCTGCCTTGCCTCATGGCCGCAGCACGAGCCCCAGTGCATTGTTCACCCTTCTACTCTGTTGCAGCTGTGAGCAAGCAGAACTGGACTGGCAGCCACAAAGGATCCTGTTGGATGGGGATACTGGTGCAGTGCCTGTGAGGCAAGGCAGGTGTTGGGACATGGGTGAACTGGTTGCATGGGCCCTGAGGTAAGCTGGGGCAGGGCCAGTTCCATCCCCTCTGCTTCGCAGCGGTGGCACTGGTAAACCACACAACCCTGTCTTATTTTGAGGGAAACACAGGTACTTTCAGCTCCAGCCAGCAAAGTCAATGAGAGATGACAGGAGCTGAAGTGAAAATCTGGAGAGCTATTATCTATTGTCTACTATAACAAAGATTCCCAATGTCAAAAAAGAGTGAGGGGAAGGACATTAGATAAATAGTCTGGCCACTGGTCTTGTCCCCACTCGCCATATGTTTAACCTCCTTGATTGCTACAAGAAATCATAGATAATCTAGATTTTAAGATAAGAGGCCCATACACTTCTGGGTGTGTAAGTATGTAACAGAATCTTAAACATAGGTGGGACCCATCCCTCAACTACAAATGATGGTTCTTTTAGGGAATACTAAATGACAAATCTGATTTTGGCTTGACAAAATGCTCAGTTGTTAGTTTAACCCTTTTGCTGACTTAATTGAAATTATGTTGTTTGGCCACATTTATTTCACAACAGGCTCATTGTTCCTCACTCATTGTTAGTGCTACATCATCCCCTTTCCCTCCTTTCAAACTGTCAGGCCTGTGCCCCACTGCAACACTGGAATGTTATGGACAATAAGGAAGAAGCCACTAAAACTCCAGTGGGCAGCTGTTTCTTGGCCACAGGATATCCTCAGAAATTCTCTGAATATTCTCCATGCCGTCACAACCAAATGCACTCTGTTTACAGTTCAAGCATAGGTGGTGAGTATTGCATGCATATGGTGAGGAAAAGAGGAAGGTGGGCTATCTAAAGGAAGATGCCCAGACCTAAAACCTTCCATGGCCTAGTGACCTGCTGGGACTACAGCAACAGGTTGTGAAGATGTCTTAAGGGAAGCTTGGCTTTTTGGTCCTCAAATTACTTCATGTCTGGTTATGCAAATTGACCCAGCAGTGCTGTACTATATAATTCACAAATGGGCTGCCTGAATTGTATCGCATAAGCCTTTTTAGAGACACTGATGAGTACTGTATATGCTCATTGATAAGATGAGAATTTTAAATATGTCTTCTTCAAATTGGGTTTGGATTACCCAGGGAGGGGTTTGTCTGTGAGTATATACATTAGGTTTTTCTCTCAGCTTTGTTAAAGTACACATGTACCCTGTAGATAAAGTATCCAGTATATGTAGATAAACCTAGTCTCTCCAAATTTTAATCAAAATAACATGAAAAATCACCATCCTCAGAAAAGTGCATTTTTCATAACATTTTAGTTTAAAAGATTACAATTCATTTTAGTGTGTATTTTCTGAGGAAAACACAATAGAGGTAAGCTTCACTTTGAAGTCTGTGGCTCTTATTTGCTGATGTGCAGTGGCATTTATGACTATGATCACTCAAACACGAGATGAAAAATGCATTCTTCACATGCCAAGTGGCACCCTTGCATGCTTGAGAGTTGCATCCTGATCTTCAGAATAGGAAGGTCCCATGGGGTGAGAAAGCAAGCAAAATATCCCAGGGTTAGGGGGAAACTAATACTTTTTTTTGCCAAAAGTTTTTTTTAACATACATATAATATAATCAAAAGTATACCATTACATCTTAACAAATATCAATAATATATCAATTCCTCTTGCCATTAAGCCTCTTCAATTTTTATTTGCTCTTCTGCTTTCCATACACCATATTATAGTCTATTTCATCTTCAACTCTTCTCCTCTCCCTCCCTCCTCCTCTCTACCTCCCTTCTTCCCTCTGCCCTCTCTCTCTTCTCTACTTCTCCTTGCTTTCTCTCTCCCTCCTCTCCTATCTTTCCACACCTTCCCCTCTCCTACTCTTTCCCTCCCTTCTACTTCCCTCTCTCCTGTATCCTTTCTCTCTCTTTCTCTCTCTTTATCTCCCTTCCATTTTCTATTTTATGTGGTGTGGTGTGCTTTTTAGCAAACCCCATCCAATATCAGTGGCATTCCCAAAGAAAAAAAATATTTTCCATATTTCTAGTTTTTCTTTTAAAGGTATACCTTTATATTTCTTTTATTTCCTCTCCCCACCCCTGTAACAATTTCTTTTTTGGATGCAGTGCAAGACGGATTTAAATTTCCGACTATCCTCATAATACTGTTACATACTTATACATCATTAAGCACCCATATATAATTTCATAATTTTAACTCTATATTATTAGGCGTATTTCCACATTTTCCTTCCATTTCCCCCCCGCATTCTAGTAACTTTCCCAACTAATATTTTTATTATTTGTAACCCGGCATAATTATTTCACCTTCCATTATTAATACAAATCAGCTAGCCCACTATCTTTATTCACCTTAGTTAATTTATCTTTAATTCCTTTTTGCTTGCAATCCTTTCTATACCATACACACATATTACATTTCAGTGTTACAGTTAATTAAAGTTCACAATAGCATATGCTTTGCAAACATTCTTCACCTTCCCCTCCCCTTTTTCCTCTCATCTACCAATTTTTATTTTCCCTTCCATTTATGTTTAAAGAATCTTAAATCCCAATCTCTGAACTTCTCCTTTCTCTTTCTGCTGTTTAGATATATTTTCTTCTCAATGTTTTTTGTAATTTTTTGCTGTACTATTCATTGTACCCTCTTCAGGATTTCCTTTTGTCTCCTCAACCTATTTTCCTTTTTCTTTTCTTGTTGTATTCCCCCGCCCCCCTTGTAATGAACTCTTTTCTTTCTTTCATAGTGCTGCCTATCTTCTTTTCCTTTCTTTTGTTTTTTTTATTGGGACACGATCGTCCCTTTTCTTTGTATCCCCATTAAACCAATGAGATCCTTTACCTGTTTATTATTTCCCTCACTCTCTCTTGCTTTTTCTGCATTTTGGCTTCCATTTCTACTTCTTTCCATAATATCCAAGCTATCATCCTTTCTCAACCAAATGATTCACGCATATTTTTCAACATTTCACATATTTCTTTAAGATCCCACCCCAAGACATAATACTTAAGATCAAGTAGGGATAGGATATTGAGGTAGGGAAAATGAATGCTTCTCTCGGTAGTATCACCCATCATTGGGACAGCAAAATTGTGACAACAGCAGTCTTTATTCTGCCTGCCAAATGACTGAATAGTGCTACCTCATTCTAAAGAGGCCCAGCTCATGTACCTACTTTTATGAGAAATAAAATAATTTTTTAGTTATGTCATTTTTGGTATGTTTTTACTAAAAGGAAGACTTGGGAAATAGGAAATATTCCTATTAGGTTGAAATATGTGGTGGAAGGAAGGAAGGAAGGAAGGAAGGAAGGAAGGAAGGAAGGAAGGAAGGAAGGAAGGAAATTTCAATTGAATGCAATAATAATTTTGAACACATATCATGTTCCTCCAGAAAATCAGTAATTAAACATAAAATGTCATCACTAAATCCTTTGATTCCCTTTGAATAATAAAAAATTAATTGTAACTTATTATGTTTGTCAAAAGTAAAGCAAGACCAAAGAATAGCTAAATAATATAGAATATAGAACTAAAACATGTATTTATTTATTTATTAAAACATGCATTAAATGATTATGTGACCAACATAATGCAGGTAGTCTCATCTTACAACCATAATTGAATCCAAAATTTCTGTCGCTAAGCAAGAGAATTATTGTGAGTTTTACTCCATTTTATGACCTTTTCTTGCCATAGTTGTTAAGTGAATCACTGCAGTTGCTAAATTAGTAACATGGTTGTTAGGTTCCCCAGTGACTTCTTGTTAGAAATCCGTAAAAGGTGATCACATGGCCACAGGACATTGCAACCATCATAAATACATGCTGGTTGTCAAGCATCCAAATTTTGCTCATGTGAAAAGTGTTTATGTGTTGTTACAACAGTGGTAAGCATAAAAAATGGCCACAAGTCATTTTTTTCAGTGTCATTGCAACTTTGAACAGTCACTAAATGAACAATTGTAAGTTGAAGATTACCTATACTACAAAATAGGGATTTATCCAGGACAATACTGTCCTTTCCATGTTTTGACTAGCTGCCATGAAGGCTACAATTCTGCCTGGAGAAATGGTCTGTCTGTTATAGGAAGATTATTAATGTTTACTGATATCCCAACATATATAAATGAAGCAGGGTTAGGGTTAAGGCCCTAAGATAACTAAAGCACTAAGAGGAAAAAAAAATGAAATCTGTCCTTGGCGGTTGACGCACCAACTGCTTAGGCTGCCAACAGAATGGGTAAGCCTGAAAAATGGGTTAGGGAAGAGCTTTGGGATACCTCCTTAGGAAGGCTCTCTAATGTCACATGATTTTTTAAACTTCTCATCTGTTTATTTCATCAGGAAATGACAAGCGTTACTGTGAAATTGGATTTAGCTTCACCATCTCTCAGGTGAGCTTTGCAAGAGAAAAACGCAATGGGCAAGAGACAACCATTCTGAAAACTTCAAGTGGCTGACTAGCTGTCTACCCCTAGAAAAAACTCCAGGAGAAAATACTGATGGAATTGCCTACAATAGTGATGGCTAACCTTTTTGTCCCCACTTGCCAAAAGTGTGGGTGTGTGCGACAGTGCGCGACTGTATGCCCACAACCATAATATAATGCATGTGCGACACACACACCCAGAGCCCCCCTCCCCTGAGCATGAATATGTGACAACCCACCCACCCCCATTTTGGGCCTAGCAGGCCTCCCTGAAGACTCCTGGGGCACAGGGGGAAGCGCTCCCCCTATTCTCCCCCCCACCCCGTGAACGCACACACTGTTACAGGTGTTATGTCTTCCTTGTATGCAGCTTTATTCCTGCCTAGCATTCATCTCCATTGTTCAGTGATGCATTTCCTGCCTCTCTAGGATTTACCTCTAGCTGCTCCTGTGATGCACTTCCTGTTCCTGTTGGATGTATATAGTTATATTCTCGATAGCTTGTATAGTGTTTTAACTGCATTTTGATTAAACAGCACATGCTGCAGAGACCCAAAAATCAGCTGGGCACAGCAGACGGCTTGTATGCCTGCAGAGAGGCCTCCACTTGTCACTGTGGCACGCGGTTTGCCATCACAGGCCTGTAACTGTATACAAACTTAAAGGCTTCTTGTGTTTCTGATAATTTGGGGAGGCAAGACACTGATGCAGCTGATTGTAAAGTAAAAATGCTGTTATATGTATGCCAGCCTCTTGAAGACGTTGATAGGACGATGACAAATGAAAATTGATTTTCCTAGCAATGAGGTGTGTATCCCTTGGTCTTCTTGATGGTCGAGGGAATAGAAATTGGGAGCATGTGTGCCATCACACAAATAATGTGACTTAGTGTAAGTATGTAATTACATCATTTGACAATGGCATCATCATTCTTGAATCATTTTGACACTGTTATTGCTTGTAACGGAAATTTATGTCCCATAAGGGTATGTAACTCAACAATATAAATATATATATATAGGCTGCCATATGACTCACTGGTCATGTAAACAAACTTGCCAGACCATTACAATATTGTAATATTCTACAATATTAATTTTGTTATCATTATCAGATTCAAGATGGTTCTGAAGAAAGATATCTGTTAAAAGACAGTATAGCAGGTATTTCTCCAGTGACATATAGCCAGCTTACACCAAACATCTACCCATTAAAAGGTGAAATCCACTGATGGTGGATATGAATCTTTCTTGCAAAGACCTGAACAGACAGGCAGAAAGAAACAGGCATTTAAGGTTGACTCCCTGTGCTAACATATGTTTTGTTGTTGTATAAACTATAATAGTTCTTACACTCAAGAAGGAAAGCAAATTTATGTGTCCCAGGATAATGTTGCAGGATCCAATCTGGGGCGGGCAGTCAGTGGGACCAGAGATTTAATAAACCTAAATCTCTAGTCCTGGTGACTGACCCAGAATGGATCCTGTTCTTACACTCAGACATTAGGCCATGGTTTATATGCCATAATGATTAAATCATAATCAGATTTGTATTGTATTGTATTTAGTTTATTTGTATGCCGCCCTTCTCCAGGAGGGACTCAGGGCGGCGAACAACTCAGGGGGGAAAGGGGGACATAAATACAGTACACATGATTAAAATACACGAAAATCACACAGCCATACAAGTCGAGAGGGGAGGGGAACTCATCAACCCCAGGCCTGCCGGCATAAGACTTAATCATAAGACAACCATATCTTTTTTATACTCCTTTTTGCAAAATTTGGGAAGATAATCAGCAAAAACTGATTGCGAAATAGACATAAAACATATTCTGACTTCTTAGGTGTATCTACTACTCTCTGGCTGACTTGGACTATAACCCCCCCCCCCCTTTTGTTTTGTCTTCTTCCCACAGTCTGGGCAGGTGATGCTTGGCGCACCAGGTGGATATTACTTCACAGGTAAATGTATCAACTGTTACGAACACCAAAAAACCTGTTGTTCTCAAAATACTATGTCCTGTTCTTGTCAATCATTTCAAACATTTATTGCAGATCTTGAGAAGTTGCCAAAAAGAGCAATAAAAATAGATAATGAATTCAAGCAGCAACCTCTGTGAGGAAAAGTTGTACTTTGGTCTGCTTAGTTTAAGTACTAACACAATATACAATGTGATGTTTTATTTTCTCAGTTTCACAATCTTACTGTAGATGTAAAGTTACACCTATTAAATTAGAAAATTGGAAGGATAGGCAGGAGGAAGAACTCCTTCATGCTTTATGGGAAGGGAGCTGAATACACTTCTTTAGACACTGATTTAGACAGCATTTGTGGATGATGATACTGTAGTAGCTATATTATTATTATCAGCCCAGTATCAGATTTGCTTAATGACCACATGATTCATTTGCAAAAAAGGTTATAATATAAAACTTAACTCACTTAAGAACTGACTTGCTTAGCAATAGAAAGTTTGCTCTCAACTGTGGTCATAAGTTAGCTAGTTTCTGGAGTAGGATGTGTCTAATTATATTTACCGATTGCATACAACTACTCAATTAGATCCATTGTACTTATTGTGTTTGTAGATATCTGCAGGTACCTTATGGTTATTGTGGGAATAAAGTGCTAGACTAAAAGGCTTTTGTTCAGTTCCATCATGGTATAAGAGCCATGGTGGCATAGTGGTTGGAATGCAGTACTACAGGCTAACTCACTGCTCACTCCAGGTGTCTATGGAGATTTTTAGTCATCCAGTTATTGTTGTCCCAAAGGTGCTTTTTCAACAGGCAACTGGACTTTCTGAAGAAGCTTCTTGGATGAGAAGTGAAATGTCTTCGAGGAAAAACCAGAAAGTCCAGTTGCCTATTGAAAAAGCAATAGGGATGCTCTGGGATACTCACTCCAGAAGTTCAATTCTGAGCAGCTCAAGGTTGACTCCATCCTTCTGAGGTCAGTAATATGAGGACCAGATTGTTGGGGAAAATATTCTGACTCTGTAAACCACTTAGAGAGGGCTGTGAAGTGATATATAAGTCTAAGAGCTATTGCTATTTATGTAATGAGGTCAGAAACAAGAAAGGAAGTATATATGGCTGGGAATTTCTGGGAGTTGAAGTCCATACATTTTAAATCTGCTCAGGTTCACAAATACTTATGTAGATGTTCTGGACCTGCAGTCTCCCATTTATCAGTTTGTCCAATTAGAGTCCTGCTGCCATTATAGAGAAATGTGTCACTTGTCTTCTTTTAGGTTTGTTCTATTCAGTTGCCCTCTCAGAGGTTGAAGCAAAATATCCTAATTCATCTTCTACTATGTTGTGGTCCGTGAATTCTGAACTGGTAACACAGGATTATAGAATGAAGAAATATGAAGATGGATATCGGGGTGAGTTGGCATTCTTTTCCTTCAGCAGACTCTGGGTGCATGCAGAAGGGCAAGGTATATGTACCAGAGGAGTTTAGGTATTGAGCCCAAAGTACTTAACAAATGTTCCTCTTTTTTTGAGTCACCTCTTTTTCTTTTGTGCTTGATGGCCAAACCATGAATTGGTCCAGTCAAATACTGAATTTGTTTTTCTCTGGTGCAAAGTAGCTAATTATCACACCATACAGGAAATTGCAACCTGTTTGTTCTGTATAGCACAAGGAAGTGTGCTCTTGGGACTATATCACAAATCGAGAGAGAGAGACACCCACAATACACAAATTAGAATAGTTTTTATACACTTTTGGAAAACAAAAGCACATGCTCATTAGCAAACCGTAGGCAACAAGAAACAAAATATTAACACCCCTAGTGGAGGATAGTCCTCCCAGAAGATGGGTTCCTTAGTAAAACATTACAGCGCTCACCCTTTTATCCCTAACTGATAGGGCTGATACTGAAGTATGGAAAACTTTCTAGCGAATTTATCTGCAATAGGAAAGGGACTTTAGCCCTGAACCAAATTGCTGTTTTGAGTTCCTTGATCAGATTATCAGGTAGCCTCCCAGGTTTAGGGTAAGAGTGTGAGGCCCAAGAATAAGAGGCCCCAAAAATAGAAACATGAAAAGTTTTCAACAAAATGTGGTTTCTCTGGCTAAAACTAGCTATACAAGTTCTTTTTGCTTGTGGCTGATATGCCAAAAGTGAACCATCAACCACTTTTATACTATAAGTGGCCTTTGACCTAATTCTAAACTAGGGTTGTCTGTACAGAGGAAGGGTTAAAAAAAAGTCAAGATGATAGGATAATCACAACTGAAGGACTGCAGATGCATTTACATAAAAGGGTGGCTGTTCAATTGCATAGTCAATTGTTTGCCATGGACACTTCTGTTCAAACAGCTGCTACAAGGAATCAGCGCAACTACGTGCCAAATCCAACTTCTTGTAATACCCTTGCTGGCTGAGAAAAGAGAGAAAGAGACAAAATGAGGGAGTAAAAGAGAGAGATGCCTGCCTATCTACCTTTTTTTGACACTGACCTTCCTTGACATGCCCCAACAGTTGTTAAATGAGTTTAAATTTTTAGAAAACAGCAATTACTGTTCCCTTTTAAAATAATGTCCTATACCCTGCCTTTCCTAGGCCTAACTTTTCAACTATTACTCCTCCTGAGAAATTATCTCTTTTTTAGCTTCAGAAATGTATCATATGCTGCCTGCATATTATTTTCAGCTTCTGGAACATCTCTCCCCCCTCCTCATGTGAGGATGGCCGCAATTCTCCTCCTATCTTTTCATAAAAGCCTAAAGATATGGCTTTGCCAGTCAGCTTGGGGTCCCAGTGAGGGAACAGCAAAATGGAGGTGGTTGATTGAGTAATAACCCCCCTCTCCCCCTTCCGCTCTGCCCCTGCTCTCCCTCATAAGGCTTGATTTAAACTTTTTATGTTTTAGCTTAGATTAACCGTAAACCACCCAGAGTTACCGTATGGTAAGATGGGCTGCTAATACATTTTATAAACAAGTAAACTAGGATCTTATCCATTCATGTAGAAGCATTATAGACTATTCTCCCCATTTTGTGTCATAGCCCTGGGAAATTTAATATGAAAGCTGAAATGTTCTAGATGGAGAATTCTGTGCTCAAGATCACATTGTTAATGTCTGGTTTTGTTTGGAAGAATGCATGCTATAGGTGAGAGCTAATTTGGTTAAGGCATCAGCTAGAAACCAGGACGTCTTGAGGTTCTAGTTCCTTTGGGCTTTGCTTTGGCACAAAGCAAGCTGGGTAACCTTGGGATAGTTACCTTCTCTCTGCTCCAGGAGGGAGACAATGACAAGCCACTTCTGAAAAACCTGGCCCAAAAAACTGCAGGGATTAGTCTAGGCAGTCTCCAATAATTTTACAAAATAGAACAGAAGAAGAAAAAAGTGATAGGTATGCCTTAAGCTATTTGATCCCCAACTTTTCCAGCTTAGTGAACTGGCGGGGACAGGGTAGGAGAGGATTTTGTGTGAGTGGCAGGCATGTACATGAGCATGTGCAACTCCATATGTGCAAGCCGTGGGTGCCAGTGCCTGCCATTTGCACAAATAGAGCTGCGAGCATTAGCATGAGTACCTGCCCCTTGTGTGCAAATGGAGGGGTGCATGCACGCTCACCTGCCACTTGCGCAGCCCGGTTCCAAATGGGCAGAGGCCTGATAGTGGGCCACAGCCCAGGGGTTGGCCCCTCCCTTAAGTAAAAGACAGTTCTTAGCTGGGGCATGCTATGCCATGCTAAAACTGTGAAACGTGGAGCCCAGATGATTTCAGATAAAGGCTATGTAGAAACACATACTGAGATGTGCAGAGTAAAAGTTACCCGATACATAGATGGTCAAACCTGCCCAAAATGACTTACAATGCTTGCCGACAGAAGCGTTGTCATCTGGCTCGATTCCCTAGGGATTACTTTGATTGCCTTGCCCTAGGATTCAGGAAACAGGTACTTCATCTCCAAGTGAGTTGTCCACAATTTGCCCAATTTTTCCTTCCATGCAGGTTACTCTGTGGCTTTTGGGGAGTTTAATGAAGACTCAACATCACCAGGTAAAATAATTGTTTTTATACTCTGGAATGGAATAGGTTGGAATCAACAGAGTTAGGAAGAGATCTGCTTCCTAGCTATTTTGTTGTTTAGTGAACTTTATGATCTTTTTGGCAGGAATTTAAAATGATTTTAATGTTCACATCAGTTGCTTCCAATTGCATAAGCCAAGAACACCCAGGTTTTCAGGAGTATCTGTTTTAATATCTGATTCAGATGTCTAAGCCTCTCTAATCTTAGTACTCCCCACCCAAATTCAGGAATTTAGTAGGCACCAGGGTTCAGCATGAATTCCATGCCAGCTAATGAATGACTTAGTGTGCCAGGTGTTTTGTAACTACTGAGATTCCCTTCTGTTTTCAGAATATGTAGTGGGCATTCCTAATGTGAGACTGACACAAGGAGGGGTAAGTACAAGGAGGAGAACTATGATGGAAGGGGTGGCGTGCCTATTTTGTTTCTTCCAGAGAAGAAAGTGAAAACCAAACATAAACAGCTTATTTACTGTATATAAAGGGCTACTCAGCAGCCTTTTTAGGGAACCCCCTTAGGCTCAGTTTACATACTCTGGAACTGCACTTGATATTGTCCCAAAGGTGCTTTTTCAAGAGGTAATGAGACTTTCTGGTTTTTCTTTGAAGACGTTTCACTTCTCATCCAAGAAGATTCTTCAGCTCTCACTGGATGGTGGGGAATGGGAAGATTTATACTCCTTGCAGACAGTTGGTCATTTGCATCCTTTCAGCATGTTGTTAATGTCACCTGGAGGTTTATCTGTGTCATCAGAATGCAAATGGCCAGCTGCCTACAAGGATTATAAATCCTTCCATTCCCCACCATCCAGTCAGAGCTGAAGAAGCTTCTTGGATGAGAAGTGAAACGTCTTCAAAGAAAAACCAGAAAGTCGGTTTGCCTCTTGAAAAAGCACCTTTGGGACAACCATGACCTGGATGACTAAGAATCTCCATAGAGCCAATATCAAGTCAATATCATCATGGGTTGCATGCCTGAACAATGGCACAGATTATGGTCTCCTTCCACATATGCAGAGAAGCATTTTATATATGTACCTGTTGCATTTATTCTAGTATTGAACAATAGTTTATTATTTTTCCCTCCACTGCCCTGAAAACAACTCTGGGTTCATAAGAAACAGTGACAGTCACATAGCAAGTGTTGGCCCACTAGTTTTGGGCCACTGAGCATGCTAGGAACTTTTCTGGGGGGATTTGTCCAGAATGGTGGCCACGGGGGATGCTTGTCTATTTGGAATATAGGTTTTTTTGTGTCCCCAAAGCCCTCTTGATCTGGAACTCTTATCTGTTCTACTTTTTACCTCTGGTGGGATGTGTGCAACCTTTTTGATGGTCAGGCTAGATAACATCTTGGACTCCTGTTCCCATCTGCCAAGCCAGCATGACCAATGGGCAAATGCATGGAAATTTTAGCCAAGCAATACCAGGCTTTCATACTCTTGGATGTAAAAATACTGTATATTCTGGTTTCCTGAAAAACATAAATAGCTGGATCTCTTTGAGAGGATAGAGCTTTAATCTTCTTGATTCTTTGCCCCCATTTCTTATCTTAGGTGGAAATTCTTACCAGGATTCTTACCCGTAAATTCCGCATTCTCTGGACTATCTCCAGTGAGCAGGTAAAAAATAATTTTTTCTCTCACATGGTTTTCCTTGCTTCTTCTGACCCATCAATAACGTTCTAGTGGTTCCTTCCAGATAGGTTTGAAATGCATGTTAGCTGGGAATTCTTGCTTTTGTAATCCTACCTGAAAAGCAAGATGTTTGGGAGGACTTCCTTATATTCTTTTTCCAGTTGGATGGAGTGGAGAATAACCAGAAGATTTAGATAATAATTACAGCCACTCCGGTGGTTAGAAGGCAGCACTGCAGGCTACCTCTGCTGACTGCTGATTTTGGCAGTTTTAGTCTCACCAGGCTCAAGGTTGACTCAGCCTTCCATCCTTCTGAGGTTGGTAAAATGAGGACAAACAGATTATCAAGGGCAATATGTTGACTCTGTAAACCACTTAGAGAGGGCTGTAAAGCCCCATGAAGTGGTATATAAGTCTAAGTGCTATTGCTATTTTTAATATCCTTACATTTTGCTTTTGCACTATTACTGGTTCTATTCACTTGGTTCATTGTAAACATTTTTCTTTTCATAAAGTCTAAAAATACAAATGGGATTGCTGAATAATTAAATCTGAGTCCTTATTCCTCATGGGTCTTAAAACTTTTCAGAAGGTCACTGGGCTAGTAGAATTGGAAATTAGCCAATGGTTCCCAACATAAAGTAATTCCCATGTGGCTATTTCTCTGATGGAAATGCAAGCTATCATTGTATCAAATGCATATGTTCCCAGGATGGTTTTATCTTTACTTCTTTCCTTTTGCAGGTGGCATCATATTTTGGGCATACAGTGGCAGTTGCTGATATCAATGGAGATGGGTAAGACCAAAATAGTGGCCAAAGTAGCCTAAATTTAAATTGGATTTGATGTAGATGGGTGATGGTAGTGTTTAAATAGCTATTAAATCCACCAAACTTTGGTCTGAAATTAGGGATTTTGTCATTCTGCATTGTAAAAGCTTAATACAAATACTGTTGTAAAAGCAGGAACTCAATGAGTAGATTCAGAAGTATCAGTGTGCTAAAACTAGATACTAGAATGGAAAATCAGGGATCATAGATAATGGGAGTCCTAAACAAGCCCACAAAGTATTAATGCTTTGGTGAATATGAGAAAGACCAGCTAACAAGGGTTGTTGCTGCTTGAAAACACCATTTTTTTTGGGGGGGGGGGGTCCTCATTATTTTTTAAAAAAATTATAGCCAAGGAATTAGCTGCATAGTCTTAGATGCTGATTTTATTATTTCTACTTTCAAATAAACACCAAAATACTCCTACTGCCAGATCCTATGGGTGTTTAAAAAGGGTAGATAAGACCATATAGCCCCAAGTTTATCATCCAACCCATGAGTGCAAGAAGAGGAATGGCAAGAATATGAGATTTACCAGGAAGCTGTTCATTGCTTCATCTCAATTTTATCCAAATCTCGGAAGAGTTGTAGTCCTTACATTAGCCTTGTCTGATGCCCTCCAAACATCTAATTCCTCCGACCAACTCTCTTAAACAGCCAGTGTACTGGATGTACATAATAGAAAATTTATTCAAATGCTTCAAAAGAGGGACAACTAGAATGCAACACTAAATGCTAGACTATGTTAACTCTGCCAGTTTATGGTTTAGTGTAATGAGAAGGAGAGAAAAGGTTCTTTTCTTTTTTCTAAAATTATAATTTGTAAATACAATAAGAGTATATAAAAAAACAAAGATAAGAAAAAGAAAGAAAAATGAAAAATGAAAGTGGATAAAGATAATTTTCTAGATTGTAACAACAGTTAAGTCCTGGTCTGTGGTGGACCACGTACTTAGTTTAATATCATAAAGGACAGGCAAGAGAGTAGTGATCCAAAGTACTTTTTCTTCTATAGCTTTATTAGCTGTTAGCAGCAGATGAATAACCATCATAGAGTTTCCTGCCCCCATTACCAATCCTAACCACCTCTGTTGGTTGCCCTTGTTTCCAGCCAGTGCCCTTATTTCCTGTCTAGGGAAGACTGTCCTCTCCCAATCTTTCTCAGTGCCACAAGCTCCTTTAGACACCATTTGATAATCATAGCCAAAAAGATGTCTGCTGTGGATAGAAATAAAAGACCCTAAATTTTTGAAATTCTCTCTTTCTTTTTAACTTAAATAGTCAATCTGGTAGCTAAATAATTCTGGACATTGATCTTAATGGTTCATGTGGCAAGAACTAGTTATTTCCATTATATCATAGGCATCCGAAAGAATCCCTTTTGTTCCAATCATCCACCATTCCATTATGAACAATTGCTTCTACAGTCCTGCTAAACTAGAAAAACAACATACAATGTGTTTGTTATCTGATTACAAAGAAACGTTTGAGAATGTAAAGTGTGTTGGTTTCAAGAGCAATTAAATCATAAAATAAAATAGAATTTACTTCTGGGGCCCTGAAGCTACAGTCAAATTCTTAGCAGCCATCATAAATTTAGCCAACTGTTTTCTCTGTGTCCTGGTCTGCTAATACAAATCAGGGGGTGACAGTGAGCCCTTTATCACTGCCTCCTTCATCTACACTGCTCTGAGTGGATATTTGGAGGAGCACTGAATGTAGGTCCTTGTAATTTATCCCTAAAGTGCAGCTACAAATGCTAAGTTAACAAAAAAACTTTACATGCTGAAATTATCTTTCAATTGACTTGCTTCCTCCAATTTTTCTTCCAGGGTTTCCTTTTGCATCCAAAGAGCTGCATGTGCCCATTTTGGGAATCTGCTGCCCTCTGTTGTCAGTTAGATATTGTTGATATTTTGTCAAAGTGATTCCTGATACTCCTACTAGCACCAATAAAAATATATTATGCAACCACAATTCAGATAGATAGATAGATAGATGATAGATAGATAGATAGATAGATAGATAGATAGATAGATAGATAGATAGATAGATAGATAGATAGATAGATAGATAGATAGATAGATAGATAGATAGATAGATAGATAGATAGATAGATAGATAGATAGATAGATAGATAGATAGACAGACAGACAGACAGATGGATATACTCTAACAAATTATCTTAACATCCTCATACTGTTACCAACTTTTTCCATTTAAAGCCATATCAAACATATTAGAAGTGGATTGCAATAGTGCCTATTATATTTTTTCACTCAAAAGTACATGTCATGCCATAAGTGTCATTCTGCAACAATTAACAAATAGAGCACAAGTACAAAAGAATGGCAGAATTGCAATTTAATAACTTTACAGTATTGTAATATGATTTTGCCTAACTTTGCTGGTCCATAAGCTGTTATAATGGTTTACATTAGACTGAATCAGGATTTAATCAGGCTCTTTCAAATCAATTATATTCACGATTAAGCCTGAACTCAACAATGTTACAATCATTTAGTTTTCATCTTTCGTAATGTAAAATATTTGTCATTTGGACTCAATTTTGTTTGAAAATACATTAATAATAATTTTTTAAAATTTCCTCATTGCTATGGAATTAAAGATCAATTAAAGCCATAATGAATCATTTTATAACCTCCAGTAGTGCTATATCTTATACCTCTTATCATCAAGAAATTACTCCACGTAATGATACAATATGTGTGCCTTAATATATTCATAGAGAGTTAGTTTGATGTAGTGGTTAAAGGGACTGAATTAGAAATTGGGGAGTGTGAATTGTCACAATGACTTGGGCAAAAAGGCAGGTGGGTAGCCTTAGTCCAGCCATGTTCTCTCAGCCCTACAAAGAATTCAGGTTTGAAATTTGAGGCCTGGATAACCTTGAACTATGCCGTTCCGACCTGAGCTTAGTGCACAAGATAACCTGCCATAACGTCCTACCTGTTAATGACTACTTTTACTTCAACTGCAATAACACAAGAGCTATCAATAGATACAAACTAAATGTAATCCGTTCTAATCTTGATTGGAGGAAAAACGATTTCAGCAATAGAGTAGTAAATGTATGGAACACCCTACCTGATCCTGTTGTTAGTTCCTCTAACCCCCATACCTTTTATCTTAAACTGTCTACTGTGGACCTTATGTGTTTCTTATGAGGTCCCTAAGGGGGCATGCATAAGCGCACCAGCGTGCCTACCACCCCTGTCCTACTGTCCCCATTTATATGTACTTTTTATGTGTTTATGGCTATGTTTTGCTTATTTATATCCATTTATTTATGTCATTTTTATGTGTTTTCATGTTTCATTATGCTTGTTGACAAACAAGCAAACAAACAAACAAACAAGACAATGAAAAACCCTTTCTGAAAATGTTGCTAAGAAAGTTGCAAGGCTTATCTAATTTTCAACAGTCAAGACTAGCTGTAGCGTAAACAAGAATACACAAAAAGACTATTCCTAAGCACAGAAGAGAAGTGCTTCTTTATCATCTTGTACTGGAAATACTAATTTATTTTAAAATAGAAACAGACGAGGCCAGAAGAACACACCTACCATTGATCCTTCTGCTTGCTCTTTACTGACTACAAAACAACATTATTATGCCAGGTCTTACAGGTGTTGATTATTGCCACAATCTCCTTCAAAGCAAGACAACTTTCCCTGATCTCAAAACAAATTAACCTTTTCAGAGAAGAGAAAGGAGGACGTATCTGGGTTCTCAGTCAGTGATACTAGAGAAGAATCATTGCCTGGATTCTCAGGACTACTCACATAAGAGAATGGTGTCAGTCCTGGGAAACATTCTAAAAAAGAAACAGCAAAACAGTCATTCCTGGAGAAGTAACAGTCTCCTTGCAGTTTTCCTTACAACTCCAAAGCATATATTTATTCTTGGTCTGGTTCTCTTAGTCTCCTTTATCTAGATGCAGCTTCCAGTAAGAAGCACTACACTTCTTAGGTACATTTCAGTGGTATGTGGGGTCTGTGAATCTGACACATAACAATGCTGCTGCATATTGTTTATTTCCTTTTTGGAAGAAAGTCAAATGATCTCTCAGAGGTGGTGGTGGAAGGAACTATGATGTAATCTGAAAGAGTATGTAGAAAGTCCTGCCGGAGAAACCATAAGGCCTACCTGAACCAGTATGCTGGTTCCTATCATGGTTAGCAGACGCCTCTTGAAAAGCCCATAGTTAAACTTTTGCAAATCTACTGTAACTTAAGGCCTCAGTGTTAGGCAGGTGATATTTGTATTTGCTTTGGCTGAAATGGAGACTGTGCCGTGTATAACCTCTTACAGATTGTTTTTCTGTGTCTCAGGAAAGATGACATTTTAGTGGGTGCCCCTCTTTTCATGGAGCGCCGCTCAGATGGGAAACTCTATGAAGTGGGAAGAGTTTACTTATACCTACAGTGGAGGAGCCCAAACCCTTACACAACTCCTTGGCAGAAGTTGACTGGCACAGATATCTATGGCCGTTTCGGCATGGCTATTGCTCCTTTGGGTGATATAGATCAGGATGGCTACATTGGTAAGATGGCGTTGATGAAAAATAGGGAGGAAAGCAATCTGAAAAATCTCTGTTGTATCTCTGCTCAACTATCTCCTACTGTTGAAAGAGAGACCACACGATTTAAGATTCATTGTGTCTGAACCTAGATGTCTATGGATGATTCTTTTTAGTCTAGTTTTAAATATTTAAATAGTGCCCAGAGTTATCTTGAGGTAAGTTGGCCAGCCTATAAATTGTATACATAAACAGACAAACAAACAAACAAACATTAGTCAATGATCTTAGAATAGTTTAGATGGTAATGAGCTTATAAATAAGCTGCATTCTTCATTACGGTGAATTTGCGGTCAATGCTGAAATCTTTTTAAAAGATCCAACCTTAGTCATCTGCAGTATCTTTTCACCACACTATTAGTATCCATTGGTCTCTTGGAACCTAAATTTGGAGAATACTCAAAGAGCCCTCAGTTTAATCTTCAATCTTCCTAATGCTTGAAGTTGGTCTTGTCATCACCCATCTGCACCTGCCCATGGCACAAACATTCATTTTAAATGTTTAACATTATTGTTAAAAATAATACAAATGCAAAATCCTATCCTGGTTATGCGGTGGTGGTGTTGGTGTTGGTTTTTTGAATGCTGGCTGGGGAATTCTGGGAGTTGAAGTCCAGACATCTTCAAGTTGACAAGGTTGGGAAATACTGATCTAGTCCCTAGCCCTTGTGTGAGGTAGACTTAGGGCATCATTCACTGTGCTGGGATTAAAATAATGTTTCTCCTTAAATTAGGCTGTCCAATGACAGCTACAAATGTGTAAAACCTGCTAAGCTTTGCCACTTCTGAAGTAAACTCAAATAGTGGGTAAGATCAGAATTTGAATTAGAATGTATTGACATTTGTATGCCGCCCACTCCCTTGGGACTGTGTGTTCAGATCAGAGGTGTTCTGATCTCTGCCCAGTCCATCTGCTGCTATTCTGCTGTATCTCCCTAAAGAGTTAGACACATTGGATGTACTAGTGAAATATCAGAATTGTGCAATGCCATCAGTTACTCATTTGGCTGTTCTGTAAATGCTTTAACTTGACAGTCTTTGCTGGCTTAGTGCAAAGCTAATGGACCAACCTCTTGCTCATCTTTGCTTCCTGAGAACATTGAGGAATCTGAAAATCAGTATTAATTGCCTTCATTGAAAATAAACGAAAAGAAAAGAAAAGAAGAAAAGGAAAATCCTGAGTAAAAATAAGATTAGGCTACCTTTGTGACATCAATCTGCTATTGGTTTCCCTTTATTTAACTTGGGTTATGACCAAAAGATATGTATAAAAAGGGCACAAAAAGTTTTGGATGTGCATTAACAACACAACACCATTTGGCAATCAGTCAGACCAGAGGTAATGGGCAGGATAGGGGTTGGCAATGGGAGTAGCCAGTTTCATGCTAGAGTAGGTTTTTGCTAAAGATTGAAGGACAGCAGTTTAATTCAGCATTTGGAAATACCCCTCGCAATGCTTCTTCCCACCCTCCTTTTCTTTTGGCATTTTCACCTTGTGTTTCCTCATGGAAAATATTTGCTATTATATTTTGTTTAAACAGACATAGCCATAGGAGCACCCTTTGCGGGCCAAGATGGAGGTGGCCAGGTTTACATCTATCGTGGGCACAGTGAAGGACTGAGCGCATCTCCAAGCCAAATCCTCAAGAGTCCTTTTTCTGAGTCTGCTGGTTTTGGCTTTGCCATCCGTGGAGCCTCTGACATTGATTTTAATGGCTATCCTGGTAATACAATATTTTATTATGTCATATGCTTAGCCTAATGATCTATAAGAGCCATGGTGGCACAGTAGTTAGAATGCTGCAGGCTACTTCTGCTGAACTGCTGATTGCCAGTAGTTTGGCAGTTCGAATCTCACCAGGCTCAAGGTTGACTCAGCCTTCCATCCTTCCAAGGTCAGTAAAATGAGGACTTAGCTTATGGGGGCAATATGCTGACACTGAAAACAGCTGAGAGAGGGCATTATGTAAAGCATTGTGAAGTGGTATATAAATCTAAGTGCTATTGCTATTTGAACCAAAGTAGAGCAATTTCCCAAGAGTTTTGTTGTGATCTCAACCAGCTTTCCTCTAGCATGGCCCTTTTAAGTGCATGATGACTTCCATTGATGACTTCCATTGTTGTTGTTGTTGTTTAACATATGATTAAAACATGAGAAGTAAACATACAATATATACCCCACCCACATAGATATATATATATAAAACTTCCATGGGGTATATGGCAGTGGCCTCGTAGATGAATGTCCAAGAGATTACCCGTGGTATTGTTTCATGTAGATCTTCTAAAGAACCATGGAATGCATGCCATGGGCAGTCTTGCACAATATGTGTAATAGTTTGTATATCAGCACAACAATCACAGTAAGGGGAATGACTTCCATAATTCCAAACTAGCATGATCTTTGGTCTTGTTGGCTAGAAACTATAAAACAGACCAACGTAGGAGAACTTAGTTAGGGACAAACTAATTTAGGCCACAGGTAGATTGAAAAAGATGTTTTAATTAGTCAAAGTTACGAATATGTGAAAAATCCTGTGCTTTTTACAAGGAAAGCTTAGATTGACTGCTATTCTTTTCAGTGGGATGGGTAGCACTGGTGCCTTAGAATGATGATTGGTGGAATGCTGCATCCTTAATCGCCCCTGTGTTTTATCCTTCTCTTCACACCCAGATGTGCTAGTTGGTGCTTTCAGAGCCAACAAGGTAGCTGTCTACAGGTGAGTGAATATGTCCAAGACCTTTGCATCTCATAGTTTGAAGTACAGTTACCTGCCAGCATTTTTTTTTCTTCTGAAATTTGTGGCATCATCTTTCTTTTCCAAGAACCATCATATGTTCTCTTTAGGGAACCCCCACTCTTTAGGGAAACATACTGGACACTTGCTGAAAGGGTTGCAAATAATTTGTACAAATTGGTTTAGTGTGGGGATTAGAAAATGTCTGGAAAATGGTAAAGTCTCCTCATTTTGATATGTTTTATTATATGCTTTTTTTCTCTTATGGATGGAAAGGAAGTGAATGATAATCACATCCTCTTTTTTATTTTTTATTTTTACTTAACACAAGCCTGTGAATTTATACATGAATATGAAATTGTGCAGCAAGAAAAAGAATTCAAGGAACCATTGAAAAGGCAAAAGGGTGCCAAAAGTCTTATTTTATATTGATTGTTTTGCCAAATTTAAAAATATAGAACTGTTTACAATATAAGATTTTGTCATATCCTATTGATTTTGGGGTGGGGGCTTGTTGTAATTATGAATAAGCTAGAATTTTGCCATAGGAAATTCTTAAGTTAAATTATAAATAGAGTAGTTTCCTAGCCAAAACGTATAGAGCTATGGTGTTTGTTGTTCTTGCTTCACAAATAGAATTGTTGAGTTTTCACTTTGACAAGTTTAGTGATTGTGGAAAGAAAGCTCATTGAGCAAACGAATAGTTCTAAGCAATAGTGATCTATCACCTGAATGTCTTGCAAAATGTCTTAGCATTTTTTCCATCTTGTGCCCAAAACGGAAATATTTTTTTGAACCAATTTTAATTTGTTTTTGAACAGGGACAAACAAACATTAAAAAAAAATCTTCCATTACAAATTGTAGAAAGTGTGTCAGTTGTTTACAGTATTTCCATGCATCTCTTCCATAGTCACTACCTGCTTTTTATATCAAATCACATATTTTAAATTCACCTATATTCATGCATATCACAATTATTATATCTCAACCTTAATTTGACTATAATAGTTTTTACATCCTTTATATATAATATTCAAAATCTAGAATAGGATTATATGGTAACATTCCATTAAATCATCCTAAAATCATCCAATCACAGTACATCTTTATAACATATTCCAGATAAAACTTTTAAACCTCCTCTCATAATCTCCATGTATTGTTTATATAAAATTTCATATTATCAAACTAATATATGTATATGTATTGTTATCATTATTAATCATTATTTAATTATAGCTATTTTCGCTTCATTTTATACATACTACTAGTAAACTAAATTTAGCTTAATTTTTTATTATACATTTTCATTGCATCAACCTGTATCTTTCCCGTAATAGTATGGTCTTATACCTTTGTAGCATTTATATTCTAGTTACTTTCTTAATAAATCTTGTATAAACTTCTCTTGACAACATATTATTCCTTTCATATCTCATAAAAGCTTGAAACCCAACATCTGTTCTTTCCATCAGCTTATCTTTGGTTATCTCTAGTGCTTCTGTCAAGATTTCTCTCCTTATCTCTGTCAATTTTTCTCTTTTCTTCTTCTGTGCTTTGAAGTCTGGGGTAGAGTTCCAATCCATCTATCTCCCCTTTCCATATTCCACTCTTGCTATTACCAACCACATTCACTTTGTTGTCAGTATCCACAGTTTTCTTATCTCTTTGCTCATTTTTTCTTCCATCTTTTGAACTCTGTCCTCCACTTTCTTCATTTGGTAAACATCCTCAGTTTCTCCATCAGATCTTTCTGTTTTGTATTCCATATTTTCCAATCTCTTTTCAATTCTCTCTGAAACAACTAATAGATCTTGAATTTCAAGCATAATCATTTGCAATGTTACAGTTTCTTTTTCCTGCTGAGGCATTCTTTCAATTTTGCAGACACTGCCACTATAGGGTTCAAGGCTATTTTAATAAACTTCAAACAGGTTCATTTATTATCTTTCAAGTCAAAATGTTGTCTTCCCTCCAATAGCTAGTGATAGAACTTCCAAAAGGCACCTGTATAAACAACTTGTGCTCTTTCTACTATCACTGTCAGTAAACAAACTGAAAGAACCTTGAATTTCAAGTGATCAAAGAGAAAGAAGAAAAAACAATGTATCCAGCCTCCAGCCTCTAAGTGGCAGCGTAACTGCTTTTCCTCTTGTTGTTACAACCCTCTTTATAATCCTTCTTATTATCTTCTTTATATTCCAAGCGTAAGAAAGGAAAAAAACCCTTAAAAGGAGATCAAAACCATCAAATCAAGCATTATATTAAAAAAGGAGAATTTTAATCCATAGGTATAAGCAAAAGTGAAAAAAGAAGAAGAATTAATCCATTCAGTTTAAAAAATAGGGAGCCCCTGCAAAAGTTCCAAAGAAAGAAAGAAAGAAAGAAAGAAAGAAAGAAAGAAAGAAAGAAAGAAAGAAAGAAAGAAACTGGATAACACACTAAGTTCAATGCAGATCAATCTCGCCACCTACAGTCTTCTGTCTTCAATCTTAACTTAATTTAATTTTTTTCTTGGGTAGTCCCTTCCTCTAATAATAAAATTTCCTCACCAATTCGACACACTTTCTCTTTCTGCTTTCTTCCCGTTCCGGAGCTGTTCCAACCTCAGCAGCTTCATTAGCTGCTTTTCTGTCGCCAGAAAAAAAGGACTATTCCTGGATTTTTCAGAGACTTTGTGATGTCCCTGAGATCAGCAGGAGGTGCCCTTCTCAGTCACCGTCTCTGCTGGACGGTTTAGGTTCAAATAGACCGTCCAGCAGAAATTTGACTGTGATCTCGGAGTACCAAGATCACACGTCGTGCCGTCGTGACATCAGCGCTCCTTCCCCGGAAATTTCTTTTTTTGACTAACATCAAGTCTATAAAACCTATTCCCTATACTTGGGTAGATGAAAAATGACCTTAACTCTAAGATTTAAAATTAATTAGAGGCCACCCAAATCTATTATACTGCATTATAGTTTTGCATATAACTTCACAAAACCATATGCTGATATTCCCCAACCAGAAGGCTTTCAGATATGGTGGGAATTCTACAGTTCTTCTCTTCACTCACACAAAAGCCCCTTGGCTGGGAAAAGTTGATCTGCACCCAAGCACAGGGGGAAAGGAAAGAGAATCTGCTATCAAAGTATCTCTACTTAGAGGAAGGTCTGAGTGATGCGATGCTGTGCTTGACTCCAGAACTTCTTTCTTTAATGCAGTGTCTTATAAAGGGTTGATCTATTGCTCCCATTGCTGTAGAAAAACACTATAGAAGGACATGAAATTGGAGAAGGCTGGCCCAGCACATGGATACTGTTGAATTAGCTAGTTAAAGATAGAAAATTTTATTGTAGAGAAATTTTATCCATCCATCAGGATATGTCCATGACTAGAAATTTTGGAAAAGTCCTTTGTCTCATCCACCAATGATGAGTAAGAGGATTTCTGATAGTCCCACAGATCCTTTAGTCACCATTTATCCTAGCTGCATATGCACCTATAACAATGACATGTTTGTCTTTCTTAGAGTTCAGCCAATGATTAGACTCAAAGCCCACCTTTTCATACCTGATGTTCTTGATTCAGAGATGAAAACATTTCATCTCTGGAAAAGTCCTTTGTCTTATCCACCAATGATGAGTAAGAGGATTTCTGATAGTCCCACAGATCCTTTAGTCACCATTTATCCTAGCTGCATATGCACCTATAACAATGACATGTTTGTCTTTCTTAGAGCTCAGCCAATGATTAGACTCAAAGCCCACCTTTCCATACCTGAAGTTCTTGATTCAGAAATGAAAACATGTCCAGGAGCACAGGCCAGCTGGTAAGCATAATGGGAAAGATATCCATGTTCAGGTCTGATTCCCACTCTATACATGCACAAGACACTTCACCCTCAAATAAGTTCATGAAATAAGTAATTTATTTAAACGTATAATAAGACTTGTAATTGTACAGGTGAGATTCAGAAAAGCAGATTCTATGGTTAGTTATTTGGCAGTTGGGTGAGATTCAGAAAAGCAGATTCTATGGTTAGTTATTTGGCAGTTGGGTATGCTCGTTTGATCTGTGAAATGAACCTCATCGTCTTTTTCCTCATCAATGCAGCTTCAACATCCAGATGTGTGTAGGGATGTTGGGAAAGAACATTCCATCAGAAATTGGTGAGTATTGAATCAGTAATTTAGGAACAGAGACCATTGTGGTCGTAATCATGTACATCAGGGGTGTTAAACTTGCAGCCCTGGGCCGGATGTGTCACACACTGGCCATGGCTATGCCCGGCTTAGCGAAGGGGGGGGGGGAGTCACAATACATCATGTGATGATGCCATGATGATGTGAGTTTGACATCCCTGATGTACATAGATAACAAGAGGAATGAGGTAAAAATCCAGACAATACAAATCCTGAGGTTTGAGGGTTCTCCAAGGTGAAAGATTTTTCAGAAACTTGGAAGCAATACCCCACAGCATTATTTCTAAAGCTTAGCAACTTTAAGGTATGTGGACGTCAATTCCCAGAATTCCCCAGCCAGCCAGGGTGATTGGGGATTTATAGGAGTTGAAGCCCACACATCTTAAAGTTGCCAAGATTGAGAAACACTACTGTAGAAATAGTATTGCAGACAATACAATTTTTCTTATTTCGCAGAGTCTCTGATGAAACAGGATTAACTAGATTCAGTAGTCCCTCAAGCAATATTTCTAGAAAATTAAGAATTAGTTCTCTTGAGACAACAAATGTGTGTATTTGCCTGATTGACAAAGGATACTTTTTGTACCCACAGTTTTTCTATGACCATAGCAATTCTGGAATTTAATTTTTAATATATGCATGAAAACATGGTTATTTATTAACCTATCAGCATGCTTAGCAGTTCAGAAAGAAAAGAACCAGGATATCTGTTTCTTAACTCAGCTGTACCAGAAATGAAATTAAAGAGAAAGCAGCTGAAATTAGGAACTGAGTTATTAAATTGTGTTTTCCATCCACCCACCCATCAACCTTTCCACATTTGTTTATTTAGAAGTGAAAACTACTGATTCTATTTTGGCATTGGTATTTGTAGTAAATGGGGGAAGGATCTTAATCTAATGCCCCATAGAATCCTGGATCAATTCCCATTAATCCTTAGCAGCATAGTATTGTTGTCAGATAACACTTCTGGATGGTACTCAAGTTAGAGGGTGGTCTTAAATCGCTATGTGGGTGTACAGTCTTTCTGTTACACATTCCTTAATCTTCTGAATACATAATGAACAAAATAAATATGGACTGTAAGAACACTGCAGATGTTTGAGACAAAAGCCTTGTCTTGTACAACAAAAGACAGTAGTTTGGTATTCTAGTTATCAATATGTATACTGTAGATTGTGATTTGCCTGTTAATCTTCATCACACTCATGTTGTTTTCTGCCTGTTTCCTTGTGTCTGCTAGAGCTAAATGCAGAGCTACAGCTGGACCATATGAAGCAGAAATTTGGGAGGCGGGTTTTATTGCAGCAAACCAACCAACCAAGCCAGTTATTCCAACTGAAGTTGTCCAAAAGAATTCCCCTGACTTGTAAGAATGTTACGGCTTATTTACGGGTAAATATCTCCGGCATAAAAAATGTGTCTTTGTTTCTGTGTGCATGTGTTTGGGATAGTGGGGAAGGCTTGAGCAATGGAAATTATGTTCAGCTTTGATTGTTGCAGCCCAAGATTTGCAGAGAAATAAAGAAGGCTGAGTACATTTTCCCTTCTATAATTTGGGAAGTACCAAGGCTACCTTCTTATATTCAAACTTTTAATTTGTTGTTTTAAAGTCCTATCTTGGAATTTTTGGCACATTTGTGGGACTTTCCTGTCTTGGAATAAAATTCTTTATGCTATTGTTACATCAATCTCCCAACATCTTCAGAAAAGAAGAGCAACTTCCAGATGTGAACAATCTACAAATCCCAGAAGCCACAGCCAGCAACCATGACTAATAGCGAAGGATTTTAATAGTCATAGTTCAATAAAAAATTGACAGTTTCTATTCTTTTTTTCCTAAGAAATATTATTGGTATCTTTGCTTTTGGCAAAGCTCTTGCATATTTTTCACTGCATAAATCAAAAATAATTTCATTATGGCTATTGTGTTAGCCTACTATAATGCAGAGGTCAACTATTCCATTGTGATGCTGAGCCTGGGAGGAAACTTGAGATTGGGAGTGTGTTTCCTAATCAGACTTTGCTCGTAGGAATTATAGAGATGAGAAACAGTGTTATGGATACTAAAGTTGCCGCCTTTTTGTTTTGGCAGGACTTTTGTGTCTTTCAGTTTGACAAATACTAGTTAACTCTTTTGTGCCTCTAGAAATTTTTCTTTGCAGAGATGAGAATTTGTGACTTCTAGAAAATCAAAAGTTCCCCATTTCTTTGTTAGAGTTATAAACCTTCCAGAAAGATGTAATTTGAACACACATTTTCCAATTGGATGTCCTCCAGATTTGTCAGATTACACCTCCAAATTTACCAGGTGGAGGTGATGGAGTTGTAGTCCCACACACCTGGAAGCCACCCAAAAAAACTTACCCCATGGGGTCTGTAAACTGTTTTTTACATACGCCCCTTCCCAGGATCAAGCTGATTTCAAAGACAAGCTGAGTGCCATTGTTGTGAGCCTCAACTTCAGTTTGACATTCTTCTCCAGAGCTGGAATTCTGCAACCTATTCTGTCTGGCCAATTGATGGTCCAGGAACAGGTAAGACTTCTTTCTTCTTCAGCTCAAAGCAAAGTGCACTAGGAACTACCACTTTCTGCTTATGAAGTTGCTTGTTTGTTTCCTTGTCTGAATGCTTTGAGCATAGGGTTTACCTCTAAAATAAATGTTTCCAAAGAAGTGGCTTTGGTAAACATAGCCTATGCATGCCCAAGAACAAGCTGAATAGTTAGAATATTCCTCTTCAGAAGTACATTCCACACATCACAAATTGTAGGCCACAGACAATAATACACTGTTGTGTCTTAAGGTGCCATGAGACTTTTGTTGCTGTTATTACCAATATAAGTTCCTGTTTATAGAGAGGTTGGAACAGTCCTTTCTGGTCTTGGAGTCTAGCTTTTAATTAGAGATTATGTATGTCATGTGGAAAAGAAATAGGTTTTGTACATAGAAGGTTTGCAGAGAGACCTGGTGGATTTAAATACAACTTCCAGAACCCCTCCAAAAGTTGCCACCAAATGATATTTTTATGTGAAAGAATGGGGGAAATGATTGAATAGAGGGGACCTAGTTATATTAATTGTAAACATAAATATAAGGTTAATTCAATTGAAAAGGAGATTAACCTAAATTAGATCTAGTTTTTGTCTGGCTTCATTTACTTATTTATCATGAAATTATCTTATTTAAGAGATGGGTAATTGCAGTGTTATGTATGTTAACTGGACAGTGAGAGATTCTGCTTGCTCAAATATTTTCTACTTCATATCTGGTATCTTCATATCTCTATATAGAAGGGGTTTTCTTATGTATCCCTTAGCTAGGAATCACATGGAATAGCATGGATTGTGTATGTAGCAGTCCATGTTCTCTTCCAAATCGTATTTGCTATTTGTTCAGTGATAGCTGTTTAGATTTCCTCTTATTCACAGACCCGCATCATTCTAGATTGTGGAGAAGACAACATCTGCATTCCAGATCTCAAACTCTCTGCTCACACGTAAGCACAAATAGTTTAGACAGGGTTGGCCACAACTGCTCAGGGGATGAGAAAAAAAGCATAGTAATATGCTGACAATGTTTGTAATTTTTCTATGTCTTTTATTAATTATTTTATTAAACATATTTACATGGCTGCCAATTTTACAGAAAACAATTCTGGACAGCCATCTTTTGTAGGATTTCCATACATCTCCAAAAATAAAACATATCACCAAATTACAAAGATGTCCTATAATTCATGAGAAGGACAAAGATCACCATCACTAAATTATATTATGATACTTAAAAATAATTTTATTGGTCCATTTTTAAATAAGTATATATAATATTAAATGAACAATTCATTCCAAGCAATGAAAATGAAATCACAACAAAAGAAAACATGGAAACAAGAAATCATAGTTGAAATTACAAATATATTCCAAGTTCATCTGAGGTCTTTAAAAGGAGGCACTAAGCTTTCATGTTCATCAAACTTGTCCAATTTCCATTTGACAGAATATATAATTTTCTTAAGAATTACTAAATCATACATCAGTGGAATCCAATTCATGATATCTGGGGTTATAGTATTTTTCCATTTCATAAGTATTATGAGACCACAAATATAGTATTTTTCCTTCTGCTAATTCCTTTTTGCTATTCCTAGTGCACAAAACCCCCAGATTTTTACTAAATTCCAAGTACATTATGAGTATCTTAAAAAAAACATTTTCCCAATCTGTAATTATATTGTATAACATTACTCCAAAAGAAGTATAATGACCATAACATTAAGGTGCCCTCAAATTTTGTGCAATACCAGAAATTTGTCAATGAATATGATACTATAGTTTCAATTAATATGGTTAAGACATTGCAAGAAAAATATGTTCTGATGATTGAGTTGGCTGGAAGCTCAGATTTACCAAATATTTCTAAGGACATCTGTATATGTTCATCAGTATCCATGTAACTCTTAACAATCTGGATGAGACAGCCAGATCTTTAGACAAAGTGGACTTATACAAAAAATGTTGCTGAATTTTATATGTTCCTTTTCCTTCAGACAGTTCAAGAATCATATGCCATTCATTTTCTTAAATGAATAAAGAAAGTCAGTCAGATATCAATGAGTGGGAAGGAGAAATATGTCATTTCTAATCCAGCAAAATGTTTCAACTTCCACTCAGTCTTCCAGTTGACCTTGCTGCATAGTCAAACCTCAATCAACAATTTTGTCCTCCCAATTGCAATATTCTAATTCCTGATGCAAAAGAATAATGCAGCCATTATTTATTACTCTTTCCTTTCTATGTCATTATGTCTCAGGAATGAAGCTTTCCTACTTATTGGGGCTGAGAATGTGGTTCTCATCCAGATTACAGCAACTAATGCTGGCGAAGGAGCCTATGAAACTGAGTTACTGGTGGAACTGCCATTTGGGGCTTACTTCCAAAGAGCTAACAGCAGTGCACAGGTGAGGTCAGATACAATGGTTGAATTTTAACTTCCAGTATCAGTAACTATTCAGCATTTTGGCTAAAGTTCCTATGAACTGTAGTTCAGGAATATCTGAAGGCCAATTTACCCACCACGGATAAAAGGTTTTGTCACTGTGACTAAATGTTGACCAAAAATACAATCTTGTAGTCTTTTATGTCTCTTATGGAATTGAGCCAAGAAAAACAAATGTTTTCACCTTCTTGTTTATTCCATTCTTAAAAGTGTGTTTTAAACATTATTTCCTAAAAATATTTATATTTTTTTGCATGTTGTGATCACAGATCAAGCCTGAGTTGGCTGAAAGCTCAGATTTACCAAATAATAATAATCCCCCCTCTCTGAAGGAGATGTATGGTTAAGAAATAGAAAATATAAATAAATAACAATAAATTTGAATATTTTAAATTATATGCAGTATATTTGGTTGAGAGAGACTAAAATCAATTGCTTCATACTAAAGAACTGTGCCTTATAACAATGCTCAGGCTCTAGATTGTAGGTATAACCACACTCTGCAAGTCTCTTTCAGTTACACTGCTATTGTTGCAAGTGTCCTAATTCAAAGCCATCTAGGATTCTTTTGTAGTGGGAAAGCCAACATAGATGTATTATAATCTGAGATTTAACAATCTTTCTTTGATTTTTATTTGTTTTGTGCTAAAATAGGTGAGAAAATCTACCATATATAACAAATTTAGTTTTGCTTCAAAAGGGGTTCTGATGTCCTAGAAACAACCTTTTCAGTTGAGTAACAATAGTATGAAAATCCTTCCATTCATTTTGTCATCGTGTTAATTCAGTCTTCCAAGGTTAAGTATACTTGAACACACTCCATCCCTTTTGCCTGCAGAAACTGATCTGTAATTTCCGCAAGGAGAATGAAACCCAATTGGTGTCTTGTGAAGTGGGCAACCCAATGAAATCCCACACAGAGGTAGGGGATTAATTTCTGAAATGGACTTGTTTTCTCTTCTTGTTTGCTCTGAAGCTTGAAAAAGTACCAAAATCTAGAAAGGAATGAAAAATGTTTTTCTCCATGTAATACACAAAATTATACTACATTTCTTTTAACTTGGAAAATAGAACTGAGTGGGGTTTAAACAAAACCAATTCTTTTTCCACCAATGCATGACTTTTATTTATTTATTTTCATATAAACAGAACAGAGGTGTTACTAATATCTTTTGATTAACACATAAAAAGGCAGACTTATCTGATTGATATTACACCACAAATAAATCCATAGTCTAGCATCTACTGGAACATAGGTAAGTTATAGAGAAATCGTAGCACAAAGCAAACCAGTGTTTTTTTTTTCCTTAACCTATTTGTCTTAAGGGCTCCTCTACACCTTGATTTTAATATGGTCATTCTCACCTTTCTTCCTGCCCTTATTATTTACAGATCAAACTGGATTTGGAACTAAGTGTCAGCCAGTTAGAAGATGCTAATAGTAGCATTGTCTTTGTGCTACAACTCAAGAGGTAACACTCAGCCATGTTTCAGTGGCTTATTCATTGAAACTAATTTCTGCCTTTTAATCTGGAGCTTCCCAAATGAACTACAACTTCTGGATTCCAAGTCATTATCATCCAACACATTTCCATAAAAATTGTAATCCTGGCAGGTTTGGTGGCGCTAGACTGGAACTACTATTATACCAGCATCCTTTAGCACTCTCCAACCAAAAGGCAGAGAAACTGCCCCATATCTTTTTTTTTATCTATTTTCATTTTATTTAAAAAAAGTTAAAATACAAAACTCCAAAAAAAATTACAGAAACAAACAAACAAAATAATACACAAAACAAACAAGACATTGAAAAAAAGTGCATTGAAAATACATAAATCCATATACACAAACATTATCCTCCCTATCTAAATACTGATACTCCTCCCTCAAGATAGCTGCTGAATGGTAGGTACTTTTCTTTTTTATGTTGACAAAATACTGATTTTTCTGCCAAAATTGGTTCGTTGGCATAGATTTGAATGGGAGCATTTAGGAATGGCCCAAGATTGCTTTTGGACACCCATGAACCCTCGTGGGAAGAGGAATCTTAAAGATTGCAGTTATTGTTCTTCCTGTTAATTAATATAATAGATAAATGACAGGTTAATAATCTGCAAATAAAATTAGTAGTTTGAAATTTTTGGGAGCCTGTTTTGCAATATCATTGTACTATATTTATTAGTATTCAACCGGAGGGAGGGGAATATGTGTACATGTGTTAGTGTTTTTAATGCCCCTTTTTCAATGTCTTGTTTGTTTAGTGAAACTGGTCTACATCTTGAATCCTTCTATGTTTCCAATTGTTCTCCCATTGCTCACTCAAACAACCCCCCCCACCCATTTTCTTTCCTATCACAACACTTTTCCATCCCTTATTCAAGTTGATTTGAATGTTCCAATACTGCAAAGAAATCTTGGGGATGCCTCAAAGGTGAGAACCTTTCTGACATCATCATAACCTCCAATTTCTTCTGCAGTAAGAATAGCCAGAACCCCAACAGCAATATAGAACGGTTGCAGGTGCCACTCAAGGTTGATGCACAGGTAGAGCTTTTTGGGTGAGTATAAGCCATTTTGCTCAACCTCTTCCATTAGAATATTATATTTTGTGAGTGCAGATTTTTTTAAATCTGTTGGGCTGATAAGAGGGATACATTTTAATTCTTGTATTTTGTGCTCTTTGTTCCTAGAATCTCTATACCAGCTGCCACTGTGCTCCAATGGACTCCTGAGGCCTTTAAGAACAAAAGCAATGAAATTGATTACTATGGACCAAAAATAGAGCATACATATCAGGTATCAAGAAAGATACACGAATTGGAAATATGGATGTTTTAGCCCAACATTGATATTTTTCCCTATTATAGATTTCTTTTTTTCTTTCTCCATGTCTGCCTACCTCCCACCACCATTCTCCAGTTGCAGAATGCAGGCCCTAGCACAGTATCTGGAGTTGATCTGCTTGTATATTTCCCCAGTCACTTCTGGAAAGGCTTCTTGCTTTATATCACAAGAGTGAGCACAGAAGGCAACATCACCTGTTTATCTACAAATGAGACCAACCCTCTAAAGGTAGGACTATCTGGAGAAGCAACAGGAAACAGAAAGCCTTATTACATAATGCTAGAACATTTCATTTGGATTCATGAATTAATCCATGGCATATTCAGGTTAAGGATTCAAGAAGTTGATAATGAAAAGACATCTTCATCAAGAGCCCATCAAGAGAAGAGTGGATTAGTCAAGAGTATGTGTAATTTAATGGGACTGACCAGTGGCATAATCTGCTTGCTATCAGGAATTTTTTATGCTGCAATCTGATTGGAAGAAACTGAGAGGTTCTGGAGAAATTACCAACATTCAGAATGTACAAATGGCTCTTCCCTTGACAGTCTGCAAATTTTGACTTCAAAAGTTCCAGATGATTGCATACGTGTATGCAACCAGAATTTGAATCAGAGAATAAAGAAAAGGGAAAACTCCGGGGCTATGATGGTCATACTATATCTTCGCTTGATTTGCTTTAATTTTGGATAGATTTTTAAAATATATTTTATGTATGGTATTAAAACTACTTAGGGAAGATAAGGTATTATGCTTCCTTACGTAGGACCACTAATTATCTGAAACAGCTGACTAAAATTTGTATCAAAATTATCCATTATAGTATCACTTTTTACCCTGAACTAAGTATAATGGGACACATTAGATTTTGATTGAATGCACTGTGTCAACCCAATCACTGTGGTATACAATAGATTATGGTTTAGCATATTGTATGTACAGTACATTGAACAAACCATTAGTAAGGAAAGCTAACTATTTTTCTATTATAACATATTTTCAAATTCAAATTTTCAAGTTCAGCATGGAAAAGCACTGTACCACAAAGAATTTTTCTCCTTAATAATAAACATTATTCTCTGTCCATTGAGAAAGTCCTTAATATTTTGTTTATCATAAAAACAGACATGCAATAAAGAAGCAAGGAGAGAGAAGTAAATCATAATTGAGTGTCTCTTTTTCATCATAGCTAAAAGTCCTGGAACCCACAATTGCCCCCAGCAATCTGATTGTCCCTTCATGGCATTGGCGTGAGAGGCGTGATGTCAGCTTTTCAACATTTAAGGCACCTATTGAAGTGGTGAGTCTTTGCAGGGGGCAGGGGATGCTTAGAGACTGCCCCAGGGTTCTTTGTTGTTTAAATTTCATAAGGTAATCCAAAGCATTTGACACTGGGCCTGAGCCCATTTCTTTGCTCTTCATACTTGCTGGCCTAATCTGTAAACTTGAGAGTTATATATCTTGCAGTGTTGATCTGAAAGTAAATGACATAAGTATTCTATATATTACAGTTCAACAAATATTACGCATAACTGCATACTATTTCAATTTGCAATATTAGCGTGGGAACTTGTTTGTTCTTAAAAAGACTTTGAAACTGAAAGGCTTTCCAGCTCTCTTCGGTTACTTAAATGAACTTGCAGGTTCTGTGGTGCAAAAGCTATCCCATCTCTAATCCACATCTACTTCTCCTATCTACTTCTCCACAAGGAAGAAATTGTTACCACTGAAATTCAAAATATTACTTCATGGTAGCTGTTCAGTCACACTTCTGCTACCAAAGGGAGTGTTCAGTTTACTAGTGTAATTATGTCAGTGGTAGGATTCAAATTCTTTTACTACTTGTTCTGTGGACATGGCTTGATGAGCACGGCATGGCTTGGTGGGCATGGCAGGACACTGTAAAATCTCCATTTCCTCCCGATCAGCTGGGACTTGGAAGGCAGAGAATAGATGGGGTGGGGCCAGTCAGAGGTGGTATTTATTGGTTCTCTGAACTACTCAAAATTTCCACTACCATCTCTACAGAACTGGTCAGAACCTGCTGAATGTCACCTCTGAATTATTTCTCACCATAAGATAGATAGATAGATAGATAAATTTATTTATAGGCCGCCCTTTTCCCTGAGGGGACTCAGGGTGGCTTACAACGTATAGGGAAGGGAGTACACACAATGACATATAAAAACAATGCGTAATTAAAAATAAAAGCAACATTCATTCATCATTCGGGAGGGGACGGATTATAATCTTTAACCCGAGGCCTGACGGGATAGCCAGATCTTGAGGGCTGTGCGGAAGGTCTGGAGGGTGGTGAGGGTACGAATCTCCACGGGGAGATCGTTCCAAAGGGTCGGAGCTACTACTGAAAAGGCTCTCCTCCGCGTAGTTGCCAGTCGACACTGACTGGCAGATGGAACTCGGAGGAGGCCTAATCTGTGTGATCTAATAGGTCGCAAGGAGGTAATTGGCATAACACCTTCTCCTCTATGCTGTCATGTTTCTATATGAAACAAAACATGTCTGGATTCAACATCTGTAATAATTTTTCTCTCTTCTGTCCTCCATGGAGTTTCCAATGTCCCAGTTTTCCTGATTTAGAATCATCTTTTAGTGTCCTGATTTTCCTGATTCATAATTTTCTTCCCCAGCTGTTGTATTATTCAGAGAAGATTTTAATTGCAAGTTTGCAGTTACTTTACTTACTTTACTTTACTGAACTTATATGCCGCCCTTATCCCAAAGGACTCAGGACAGCGTACAACACAAAAACACATATAAAAAAAGGTAAAAAAGATTAAATAGGAAATCCAATAACCTTAAATTGACAATTTAAATCAAATTTAGGATTAAATTAAAATTAACAACTAAAAATAAAAAATGAAATTATTCTATTCAGGCCAGGAGGGCTTGCTGAAAAAGCCAACTTTTTAGGGTGCACCGGAAGGACCGGAGGTCGAGGATTATGCAAAGCTCCAGGGGCAGCTCATTCCAAAGGGAAGGCACTCCCACAGAGAAGGCTCTCCCCCTGGGGATCGCCAGCCGACACTGCCTGGCCGACGGCACCCTGAGGAGGCCAACTCTGTGGGATCGTACTGGACGGTGGGAGGCTACCAGTGGCAGTAGGTGGTCTCGCAAGTACCCTGGGCGTAAGCCATGGAGCACCTTAAAGACCATAATTAACACCTTGAATCGCACCCGGAAAACAATCTGCAACCAGTGCAGGCCGCCTAAAAAGGGGTGTGTAACATGACAACCCGCATGGCCATATTCTGGACCAATTGGAGCCTCCGGGTGCTCTTCAAGAGCAGCCCCATGTAGAGAGCATTACAGTAGTCCAGGCGAGAAAGGACGAGGGTGCTAGTGACTGTGCACAGGGCATCCCAATCCAGGAAGGGGCACAACTGGCATACCAGGCAAACCTGGTGGAAGGCCCCCCCCTGGTCACGGCCATAAGATATTCTTCTAAACTAAGCCGCGTATCCAGGAGGACTCCCGGATTGCGGGCCCTCTCTGAGGGGGCTAAAATTTTTCCCCCTATCATCAAAGATGGTACATGATGTACAAATCGGGCTGACGGTAATCACTGTCACTCAATCTTGGAGGGATTAAGCTTGAGCCTGTTCGTCCCCACCCAGATCCGCAC